GGACAACCTGAGAAAGTACAAAATTTATTTTTCAAATTATGATCATGACAAAGCAGTTTGAAAATGGCATTGTGAAAACTGCTAATACTACAAAAGGCATCACAAAAACTCATAATTATAGCACTGAGCGTGGCTTTTACACCAAATAAGGAACCAGCATCGACGTGCCCTCACGAAAACACTCCAACATTTCACCCTGCAGGGTAAACATGCTCCGTCATCCCTCTGAGGTCACCATCTCCACCCTCTGCTTAAACAAAACACTAAATACAAAACGCATTTTAATAATCCACATGCAGTCAGGGACCATAACCCGTCTGACCCGCATTCTGCTACTGCAACAACAGCCCTCCCGCACAAACACGCATGAATGTGTGCGTGTGCTGGAAACTGCCAAGTAATTTTCAGCCGAGAATCCTTTACATGATCTAAAACCAGCTTTCTGCGAGCCTTTCGTCTTCATGAAATCTGGCTTCAACACACGAAACCGCACATTCTTCCAACCACATGCCTGCAAACTGCACATTTTCCTCTTATTTTGCGCTGTTCCGAGTTTATTTATCTAATATAGAATAAAGGCGCATTTTCAAATCAGCCAGCAGCAAAGATGTGGAACACTTACTGTGGTGTGGATGTAGGTTAATGGCCGATGGCAAATATTTTCCGGAGTGGAGAGGCGGCGGGTGGCTCGCGCCCAAGTGACCGGGAGAGGGAGGGATCCTCCCGGCTGCAGCGGCAGCTCCGAGTCGGTGAGACTCCATGGCGAGCCCGGCCAACAACGGAGGTGGTACGTGAACGGATCGAGAAGAGCAGAAATCTCTGCCATCCATTATCCACGGACAGGAAAGTTGTTGGACGGAATTTGCCCGTTCGGGTGGTAATAATCCGAGAAAAAGGAGCCAGATTTGGCTATAATAGTGTCTTTAGTTTCCCAGGCGATTCGGACTCCTTTTCAGCCATTCTGCTGACCTAAAAGCACAACGAGATAAACATCAGAAGAGTCGGATCACATGAAAAACAACCGATAGTTTTAGGTTTCATCTTTGCAGCGAAAGGGCGGCCTGCTCGTGCAGTGACGCAGTTTGGAAAAACACTTCAGAAACTACCCGCAGAAGATCCGAGTAGAGTCGCCGAAGACCAGGCGAGCAGCTCGGGCCGCCCTCTAAACACGGAGCTCGGCGCATCTATGATAGATTTGTATTTTCACGATTTTAATGGTCGAGCGGAGATCCGCCCCGGTCGCGGAGCGAGCCTGCAGCCGCTCCTGGAGCTGCGCTTCCCGGGGAAGCAGGCGGGAGAGGAGCGGCAATGCCCGCCATGAGCCCAGCCCGGACATTTCAACGTTCACCTTTACTTTCTCCTCTCGTTTTCTCCAAAAAAAACTTCATTTTTGCTTTATTTAAACCAGAACCCATGTAAACCGATACAGCACAAACACTAAAGGCGCATCAAATATAAATTTCAAACGGGTTAAAAATAAATAAGGTTGGGGAAAAAAAGCCTGCGTCATTAATCAGCGGGGTTAGCGGTGTTTTGTTGCCCACACATGTAAATTTAGTCCCGGTTACTTCACCGCTGGACATATGGGTTCTGGCCGGGAAAGAAATCAGAACCGAACCATCAAAACCACTCATGAATAAGAAAAATACTCAAATTACCGACGGCTCTTTATTTAAAAACCAGTTTAAAAACAACAAAATTATTATTTTTACCGAAGCTGTAAAATAAATAATTTGAAGCTCCAAAAAGTTACTGTACAGAGTTGCAACTTTTACTAGATAATGCAAGTTAATTCTAGTTCTCCACTCAAACTGTTTGTACACGCGGAAAAGTCAAGTTGCAATAAAAAATATTTCAAAACAATAAAATTGTCTTTTGTTAACCTTCAAAAGCAAAATAAACCTTTTAGAAAACCACGAATGTTGCCTTAAACGTCCCTGAACGTGCCCCGGAAAGGTGAGCTCCGCTCGGCTGCGTACTCTGCAGCACGGCGGCGGGCGGAGGAGCTCCGCGTTTCAGCCACGTTTCAAACTTTTCACGGTTCCGTTAAAAGGCAGAAAAACTTTCCAAAAAAGGAAACGTGTCGAAGCGGAGAGGACGAGGCCACTAAAGCAAACAATTCGTTAACCTCCGCGCCCTTTTCACTCGCTTTTTTAATATATACAGCTCAACGAAATGTTTAAAACTCCGACTACAATTTTTGCTGGGGACGTAAAAAGGCGAACGAGAGGGAAGGGGGCATGCGGAGCGCCTTACTTTACTGGAGAAAATAGCCGAGGAAGGACCTAAAAATGCGAGGCTTTCTCAAAAATCCATCCAAGCTGCAGGAAAAACTGGAGTAGTCCATTACAGGCTGGTCCGAAGGTAAACTGGATATAATTGGAATGAGGAGAGAGAAGGGGAGAGAGTCCCTCGCGCGTCCTCCTCAGCAATGAAACACAGCATTGTTTTACAAGCCCCGCCCATCTCCCTCACTACCGCAAAACACTGTACGTTTCAAAGAGCCCCTCTCTGATTGGCTCATCCAAGTGTCAGTCAATGAAGTGGGTTTCATTAAAAAAAACGACTCTGGCTTCTTTCCAGCACTATAAAACCCAATTATGGAGCAAGGAGGTTGAGCAGTTTCAAGGTCCCCTCTGCCTTCAAGACCAGGCGATCAACACAAACTGAGGTTCTCGTTTCTGTGAAGGTGTGTGCGCGCGCCCGCACGCGTGTGTGAGAGGGAGAGATTTCCATTTCCACCAAAACAAGTCACCTTAACGACCAAACGGCACGCTGAAAAGCAAAAAGAGTCTTTCAGGATATGTTCGGCCAGGATTGTGTTTCTCTGTAATTCCCACAACCACCGTACCCGTTCCTGGTCTTAGCTGCACAAGTAATCATCATCATTACACTTATTTTAATAAAACTGAATTGACTCCAAAAGTGTCACGATGTCTAAAAGAACGTAAAAAATAACCATGAACTCACAGAAAGCGCTAAGCTTCATTATCTTTTGCTGGTTAATTTTTTGGAATGTGGCTTTGGTTCGACCTTCCTCAGGAAACCATGGTTAAAATAAATATAGGACTTTTTCCACGTAGTTACTATTCCTAGAATGAACAGATTTTTCATCTGGATTCTGAACGTGGTGTTGGATTGGATCTAGATTATTATCGGAGATTATCAGCATTGCATGCGGAATCGACTGGGTCTTGTCACTTTTATGCTTTTTTATTGTTATTCTTAAACTTATTTGTCCGCAGGGTGTAAAGCCCGGCTATCCGTATGCAGATCAGGGAGTGCCGGGTCTGTAGGTGAGAAAACGCTCGCTGCCTCCAGCGCAGTGCGTGTCTACGCGGGAACAAACGCACATTTATTAGCATAATAAGAGGAGGGAAAGTGCCTTGGCCTGCTCATTTAGTGTCATTATGTTGGATTCAAAGGAGGGCGTCGTGGTGGGGTGGGGGCTCTTACTCCTCCCTCATGGGGGGGGGGGGGGTCCTACTCCTCCTTCACGTGACCTCTCCGTCCCCTCCTCGCGCACGTCTCTGTCGGGGTTTTTACCATCCTGAAAAGTTTCCTTTGAAGTACACCGCTCCGCGTTCTAAACTCCCTAAAAACGTCGATTAAAAATGTGAGAGGTTTCAAGCTCCCCCCGCGGGGCGGGATGCCCCTCCTCCTGGAGTGTGGGTTTCAAGGCGTCCCTCCGCGTCAGAAACAGGAGGCGCTCCGGTGGAGACCAGAGCGACGCTGGAGCTCCAGCAGGAGGGAGAGCGACGGAGCTCTCACGGCGGCTCCGACGGGCTCGTGGGGATCAGACCCGAGTTTTCACCTCCTTATTTGTATCTTATTTGTCCGCCGAGCGGAGGAGGACGGCCCGGGGGGCAGCTTTCACCCCGCTGACCTGTCGGGTCGCCGCCCCTGTCACCTCTGATGGGACCCGGGGAGGGGAATTACCAGGCGGAGATCAGAGAGAGGTCCTGGACCGTCCGCAGGGACCAAGCTCGGCTTTTGTTCTCCAATCGCTCCGACTAGGAATTCAGACAAAGCCTTCAAATTAAGGCCCCATTGTTATTGTTTCAGCCCTGAGGAGCCAATGCTCTACTTTCTGTGTGGGGGGTTATCTATTGGAAGAAGCACCACAGTAAATTAACAAATGTTCAGATCGGTTACAGTTGAGCACATACGTTGATTTTTCATAAACAGAAAGAGATGGTTTGAGATCCTCCAGCAGAAACTCTGAGAAGGAGCCCGCTGGGATCCCAACATCCAGCAAAATCTCAAAAAAGTCACACGTTTAATGGATGCAAGAGGATGCTGTCAAGACCTCCTGATGCTGCAAACCTCAGATCTTTATCAAATGTGTTGAAACGGTTGTGTTAACAATTTGGAACAGATGTTTAGAAAAAGACTCTTATCATTAGGATGTTTGTTCAATAATAGTCGACTTGTTCACCAACAGCTGATGACTGGAAAAGGGAAATCAGAGAAATTATCATGCATGATAATTTGTAAAACACAGTAAGACATTTCTAAAAATGCAGCTGCTGCTTGAAATCACATTTTTAACATATAGTAATCATGTGAATGATAAAACACATTTGGTTTATAAACCATAAAAGGGAATGTGGAGAGAACAAAGGAATGTTAAGCACTCTGCCAGTGGCTCATTAGGGTCACCATGGTAACACGAGCTTCAAACAACCCTTTAGAAACACAATGTGGGCATTTGATCCGCGAAAAACTCACATAAACTTGTAAATAAGGAAAATAGCAAACTTTTGAGTAAAATTGTCATTTTTATTTTCAAATATTGTCAACATCTTATGATCTTATGATGCGACAACCATACTTCTCACTGTTCCCTGATTATACAAAAGCTTCATGGCAGATAAAAAGCAGCAGAGTGCTCACGCACCAGCCACAAACATCTCCTGCCTTCCCACACAGATTCTCCACTCCAGGAATCAGTCGGAGACTTTTCTTACATGCTTCTCCAAATGTCCTTTGAGGATAATCCAACCCGTGATCCGAGCTTGTCGTCTGTGAGGGACTGTGGTGGAAAAGTTAGAGGAAAAACCATGATTTACAGCCTAAAATGCTGCTGAGTCACCACATTCTGTTTCCATTCCACAAAAAATGTTTTTATTCTGCTGAATAAGAACATTTGCTATGGTTGAGTCTGCATCTCAGTTGATATTTCTTCAAATCCGTTCCAAATAGTTCATGGAGTCTTCTCTGGCGTGGAGTCGGTGATGATGTGACACACACGTTAACACACGGGGGACAGAGCATTTGCTAATGAAGCTGGGGGGCGGGGCACCTCTACCTGCACTCACAGCAGCAGAGCTGAATAATTCACAAGGTGTCACGTTTTCAGAGAAAAATCCTACAAAAAGCAGCCAATCACCTTCAGCTATAAAGTCTGACATCACCACGAGTACCAACCCCCACTCCCAGCTCCCCAGAGGTACCCGACTGTCCTTTGCAGGGACCACTTGTGAAGAGGGGAGAGCGAGTCTCTGCGCCCCAACAGACGTGCAACTGTATGCAAAGCTCTTTGATCACCTCACAAAAAAGAAAAAAGCACCAAAGAACAAATGCATTCTTTAAATGAACATGTTTGAGAATGTGTGTGTGTGGTTAACCCCTCATACCCCCTAATGAGGTGTGCTTGAGCAGGCTTGCAGAACACAGGATGTGCATTTATTATTCTCCTTTGTGGCTGCTCCTGACTCATGTGGTTAACGCTTTGAGAAATGATGGCCTCGATGCCTCCGTGAAGAAAGAATGATGCAGCAGATGCACCCTGCAGTGTTCAGCTGAGCTGCGTCACAAACTCTGCAAAACATGAGCTGATGAGAATGAACCACACAGCTGCAGAAGGCAGCATGCTTCCTAATTAAATATTCATCCAAATAAAGATGTAATACTTTTACATTTATGAAACTTTACTCAGTGATATAGAACAAAGAGTTACCAGGAAGGTGTATTTGAAAGACATTTGCTGGCCTCCTTATGTCAGGAGGGCAGACCTCTATTTGCCTTTCACCCACTTGGCTGTAGAAATGCTTGATGCTAAACAACAGCACCACCTGCTGGTGAAATGACAAAGCTGCATACTTAAAAGGATGCGTTTGTGTTTTTTCAGCACATCGGGACAGATTGTTCCCAAACTCGTAACTCAAAAATAAAGCACAGTAAACGTTTTTACAACAATTTTTCTGTGACAGGAGAGCGACATCCAGGTGCAACTGCAGCAGAAACGTGCTCACACACCTGCAAGGACACCCCGACAAGAGGCTAAAATGGGGCACAAAATGCGCGTGCGCACATGTCCCAGGCGCCGGAGGTGTTTTGCTGGCGCTGCAGTAAAAGGATATCAGAGGGAAGCAGCCTCAGCAGAAATCAGGGCGTGAGATTGAATAAATCTCTGGCACCTAAGCTGTGGGAGTTCTACCGTGCATACAAATGTGACTTTTACTGCAAGTACTCGTGTTTGCAATGTTACCCTATCCACACACACACCTAATCCGTCTGGATTAGTTTTCATGTTTTAGCGGACTTTTAGATGTACATTTCAGCAGGAATTTTGTCATAATTCGGGAAAAGCTGGTAGAAAACATCCTTGAACTCTACCCTGCAGGTTTCTGTCCACAGGCACCAGTCACATCACAGCTGCATTAACAGAATGCGCTTAGATCTGTTTGGTGCTTTGGACATATAGCGGCTTTGAGTCAGCCTTATATTAGAGCCTGTAGTGACACCTTCTGTCCAGACAGTGGTACTGCAGCCTTGTCACACATTCACTCGGAAATATAGAGCTAAGTTTGAGTCCAGAGATTTAATTTTCACTAGGAATTCTCATTTAAATCTAAGCTGATTTCAACATTTATGTTGAGAAGCAAGATTCTTCACGGCCATGTTTTATTACTTTAACGTTCTCACAACTTTGAAGGCCAAACAAGGGTTTTTTATGCATTTAAGTAATTTACTTTAAAAGTTTAAGATCCAGTATTTAGAGATTTTAAAAACACGCAATAGCAGACACATTCACGTTGGAACACATGTGCACTTTATTGGGATTGTTTTGTCAGTGTACAGGTTGGCCCCACCGGTCTGGCACCCCTTGTTACCCGGTCACTTTTGAGATGCCTTGCCCCACCACCCTGGGATGAAACCTTCATTGGGGAGGAAGGTCACAATTGGATGTTGCATAAAAAGAAAAAAATAAACAGGACCAAGATTTTAAGGCTGAAAGTACAAAAAATCCAGACAAATTTACATACAAGCGATACTACAACCATTTTTAAGTATGCGCCAACCACTGGGCAGCCTTCACAGAGGCAAATACGTGTCTGAACAATGCAGTTAAACATTTGGAACCATGTGTCTGAATAATGCAGTTGACAAACATTTGGAATGACAAAGAAAAAAAAATGTACATTTTAAATCCCAGGCAACAGCAGGAACCTGGGGCGTTTCATTAAACCTAGCCAAACATTACGGTCTCCTTCATCGTTCCAGTTTTTTTAAATCCTGAGTCAAGCGCCAAAAATAACTGAAGCCATGCCAATGAATCGTCATCTAGGCTCTGCGCCTGAGTGTGTATGAGAAATGTGTGGTTGTTCTGCACAGAGCTGAAGATGTTGGGTGTTTGGGAGGGGAAGGAGGAACAGTCTGTTTAGAAGCATTTGCGGTGGACGATGGAGGGGCCAGACTCATCGTACTCCTGCTTGCTGATCCACATCTGCTGGAAGGTGGACAGGGAGGCCAGGATGGAGCCTCCGATCCAGACAGAGTATTTACGCTCAGGTGGGGCAATGATCTGCCAAACACAGGAGAGAAGAGGTTAAAGACGGAGCCTTGGCTTGTACGTAGAACCAGAAGGGTCAAGCTGTGCTCCAGACACTCACCTTAATCTTCATGGTGGATGGGGCCAGGGCTGTGATCTCCTTCTGCATCCTGTCAGCGATGCCAGGGTACATGGTGGTACCACCAGACAGCACGGTGTTGGCGTACAGGTCCTTACGGATGTCGACATCACACTTCATGATGCTGTTGTAGGTGGTCTCATGGATTCCACAGGACTCCATACCTGAGATGAGATAAGATGAGTCAGCAAATAACCAGACAAGTCATGTTAGCCTCAGGGGTCGGTGTTAGGAAACAGGGTACATACCAAGGAAGGAAGGCTGGAAGAGGGCCTCGGGGCAACGGAACCTCTCATTGCCAATGGTGATGACCTGTCCATCAGGCAGCTCGTAGCTCTTCTCCAGAGAGGAAGAAGAGGCAGCAGTACCCATCTCCTGCTCGAAGTCCAGGGCAACGTAGCACAGCTTCTCCTTGATGTCACGCACAATTTCCCTCTCGGCTGTGGTGGTGAAGGAGTAGCCACGCTCAGTCAGGATCTTCATGAGGTAGTCTGTGAGGTCACGGCCAGCCAGGTCAAGACGCAGGATGGCATGGGGCAGGGCGTAACCCTCGTAGATGGGCACTGTGTGGGTCACACCATCACCGGAGTCCATGACAATACCAGTGGTACGACCAGAGGCATAGAGGGACAGCACAGCCTGGATGGCAACGTACATGGCGGGGGTGTTGAAGGTCTCGAACATGATCTGTGATGAAAAAAAGAACATTTTAGTTTCCAGAAGGCTTTTAGGACACGCCACTGCACTCACTACATGCATCAGAGTGAGGCTCAGACTCAAGTTAGTACATATAGGTGCAGAAACTACATTCCTTCACACTTGTGCAAGTCAGCTGCTCTAATTTGACACAAGTGCAGACAGGCACACAGTAAAGAGACCTTCTGATGAAAGATCATCTTAGGAGAGGCCCTGGAGAAGAGGGAGGAAGTGAGAATGGAGAAGGAACCGAGATGAGGAAACTCCTGAACAGTGACTAGAGCGCATTTAGGGCGTGTACCTGAGTCATCTTCTCCCTGTTGGCTTTGGGGTTCAGAGGGGCCTCTGTGAGCAGGACGGGGTGCTCCTCAGGGGCAACTCTCAGCTCATTGTAGAAGGTGTGATGCCAGATCTTCTCCATGTCATCCCAGTTGGTCACAATACCATGCTCAATGGGGTACTTCAGAGTCAGGATACCCCTCTTGCTCTGAGCTTCATCACCTACATAGCTGTCTTTCTGGCCCATACCAACCATCACACCCTGAAGAAAAAAAAAATTGTAAATACTTTAACTCTACACTCAAAATCCATTTTTTAAATCAGACACAACTTAATTTTAAGTCTTAAAATTAAAAATACCAACCTGATGCCTGGGGCGACCAACGATGGATGGAAAGACAGCACGAGGGGCGTCGTCTCCGGCGAATCCGGCCTTGCACATACCGGATCCGTTGTCAACAACAAGTGCGGCAATTTCTTCTTCTCCCATGGTTGAACTGTGGAGAAAAACAGAATGAAATCCCATGTCCATCCACTCGGCAGCTGTTCTGCAGTCTCACATCCTGTCAACGAGACTGCAGTGTGCAGAGGTGGCCACCGGGTGGCGCTTGAGACCCGCATTCCGACCAAGCCAGACAAAAGGAAGTGTTGCTGCATTCTCTTGTTACCATATAAGGACATGGTTCGGTTTTGAGCAGCTTTGCGGCTACCGGCGCTATGGCGGGCAGCCAGAATACAGCAAGAAAAAAGGAAAATTCGACATATCAGACCCGAAGACCACTCCCTCCGGTTCACTGGTCCCTCCCCCTCCCCATTCACCATTATGGCTCAATACCCATCAGAAATCTTTGCTTCAATATCACTGCGTCATAATATCGACCCGAGACCTTCACCGCATACAAGCCAGACACGACGGGAGGGCAGCCATTAAGACCAATTACACCAGTAGTGTCATAAACTACACATTTGAATGTTTTATTTCATTGAAATGCAATTTTTAAAAGTTCTGACACGTTACTGGTTAAGACTACATCACCAATGAGCCATTTCCGTCAAGCCACGCCTAAACTAGCAACGGCTTATCTTCATTAGCTTTTTCACTTTTTTTTCATGCTTAAAAAGGTCCAGACGTGATCCCAAATTAGATTTAATTCAGTTTAAACTCTTCGGTGTGCTGAAAACTTTATTTTTCACGTTACAAAGTTTGTCTAAAGTACAATGAAGCGGCAGTTTCAAGTCTAAAGGGCGTGCTAGCATGCTAAGCTCCGGAGCTAAAGTAGGTCACACCCCGCCGGATCAGGCGGCACAAAGGGAGCAGCCCTGATCCAGACATCTCCACCCGGTGGTACCGAAACCAGCCCGGGAATTTAAAACACACAAGCTGCCATTTACCTTTGCACAATGTCCACACTCATCTCAGGCCTCCTAAATGCAGGGCCGTCTACTTTAAATGCAACATTAATCATAAGCCGGTCACGTTCAAAAAGGCAGTAACTGCATAGATTAACTTTAACATTTTCAAGTTAATTACTTCAGTAAATATCACTGAATTTAAGGCACGACTGGACAAAGAACCTCGTGGTCAATACCATTTTATGGCAGAGGAAAAGTGGCATTTCAGCCCCAAAACACGACAAAACAAGCGGCTGTTGTTTACACCGTAGAATTTCTAACATCAGAAGCGTGTGAATTACGGTTTTAGCTGCTTACCTTTGAGTGGGGGGGCTTAACGCTTTAAGGGAACCGGTTTCTGGCAAGTGATATCCCGCACGAGCTGCGTGTGTGACGACGCTGAGAGTAGAGCCGCTAACTGTAGGCGCGAGCTATTTATAGTGTATCAGCCGCGCGGCTCGAGCCATAAAAGGTAA